ATAATAAAGGAAGCGCTGCTCGCATTCTGCCATGCCAAACCATGCACGCAGCAGCCCATGCTTGCTTTTCTGTTAAAAATAACAGTGGTTTGTGAATGTGAATGTTGATGCTTAGCCTAAATAACAAATATTTTATCTGGAGCGTTTATGCTGGTATGTTGTGGAGCTTAGGAGATAATACAGAACCATTTCATGGAAATTTCTTCGATGTACTGAAAACAAATCTATATAGATTACTTTTATGCGGGCGGGAGCGGGACCAGATCAGCTATATTTCTGCGGGACTGAAAAATCCGTCCCGCGCAGGTCTCTACTTTCAAGTTCTCCTTTTTCGAAATAGGATAATTCCTAAAAGTTCTGTTAATTTTATACACTATAGTTTTAGTTTCTCGTGTAGATTTATTAATGAGCATTTTTGCAATTATGTGGCGAAGAGACCTCGAATTACTCTTAATTTTGAACCCATAGTGGATACAGAAGTTTTGAAAGGATGTATTAAATCATTCTGGGAGTGTATGATCAATATTGTAAAGGTCATGGTATCTTCACAAATTGACATGATTTTGCAAAATCATGTTGTAATCATGACCTATCCTAAAAAAGGATTGAAGTATCCCATGAGGACTGTTATAAATCATTTTGGCAGGTGAGTGTCCCAGATCTGGTGATAAATTGCTCCTTTGCCATTTGCTCTGCTGTTGGCAGGACTGTGCTCTGTCCGGCATAGGTCTGCTGTCCCCTGTGTGGCCTGGCTGGTTTGGGAATGGTCTTCTATGACCTGGATTTGGTAATCAGGGTTTTGACTCACTGGAGGTGCTGTGGTCTTGGTAAAGGTCCTGACCTTGAGTTGAGCTAGCGCTGCCCAGGCCTTTGTGCTGCTGTGGGAGGGTCTATTCTCAAGTTGTGTTACATGTGCCTTTTGACCTGTAGTTCATCAGTCATCTTTTTGAGTTTTTCATTTACTGGCTCTTCCCTCAGCTTATTTGAAGCACAAAATCAATAGCTGAAACACAACATGGGTAATTGGTCGTCTTTTTAGAATGGTCTATTCCTTTTGTCGTTTCTTTTCTTGGAAGATTTTAACTGCAAAGCAGAGCTGATATTAAATTGATTAAATCTATCTTTTTTTGTTGTTGTTGAATCACAAAGGAGCCAGATGAAGACTGCTGCAGCCAGTGGAAGGGATCATAACATTTGCCACTGGAAATGGGAGACATGAGAAGTACAGATGATTAAAAATGGTAATTTTAAAATATATGTATAATAATAGCTTTCAATGTAATGTTTTTAATGTTTGTTGCTATGATGAATGTCACTTTTGCCGTTTACCCATCATACCAAATTGGGTTGCTGACACTGACTGTCTGAAGCAACAGCACAGTTGACTATCCAGTAGCCTGTTTGAGATTTTGCCAGCATTACATTTATCCTTCTGTTTTTCCCACTAGGTCTTAGGATTACCACTAGAAAAAGGGTGCCCTGAGAAGTGCAGATGAAGACTGGTAACTATATATTATACACACTGTAATGGCTTTAAATGCTAGTTTGTAATGTCAAAGTTCAGCCATTTTATTTTATTTCCTTAAGTGATAATTGTGTGGTTTTGATAAATCCTTGTTGCCATGATGAGTCACGTTTTTGCCGTTTACCCATCAGACCAAATTGGGTTGTTGACACTGTGACTGTCTGAAGCAACTGCACAGTTGATTACCCTGTACCCCGGTTGCGATTTCACCAGCGTTAAATTTATACTTTTTTTTTTTTTTTCCCTTTTTTTTCCTTTTCCCCTCACACCAGGTCCAGGGATTGCCACTGGAAAAGGGTGACATGAGAGGAGCAGATGAATAATAACTGGTAATTTAATAATGTGTACTTACTGTAATTGCTTTAAATGTGAGGTTTTTAATTGTTTGCAGTTTAGTTTTTTTTAAGTGCTAAGTATATTTGAGGCAAAATGCTTGTTGCTATGATGAATGTCACATTTTTGCCGTTTACCCATCAGACCAAATTGGTTTGCTGACACTGACTATCTGAAGCAACTGCACAATTGACTACCCAGTACCCTTTTTGAGATTTCACCAGCATTTAAGTTTGTCCAACTTTTTTTTTTTTTTTTTTTTTCTTCCCACCAGGATCAAGGATTGCCACTTATGAAACAGTGACCTGAGAATTGCAGATGAATGAAGAGTGGTAACTTTTATTTTTGGTATATGTTGTAATGGCTTTAAATTAGATTTCCATATATTTTAGCAGTTCAGCCATGTAATGTTTTCAAGTGCTAATTGTGTGGTTTGGAGGCAAAATGAATGCTTGTTGCCATGATGAATGTCACATTTTTGCCGTTTACCCATCAGACCAGATTGGGTTGCTGACACTGACTATCTGAAGCAGCCACACAGTTGATTACTCCGTGCCCCATTTAAGATTTCACTAGCATTAAATTTGCCCTGCTTTACGTCCCACTAGGTCCAAAGATTTGTTGTTTTTCCTGTGTGTAATACCTTGATTTATTCCTCAACTGTGCAGGTTCTGTAGGTTTGCACAAAATGCAAGATCTGCTTGCGGGGTTCTTCCAACATGAGGTCCCTCTGGTGCAAGGAGTCCAGGTCACGGAGGGCACAGGGAAACACTGCATTGGGTGGAAAAACAAGCGCAGAGGCCCCTGCATTCCCAAGACAAACTTTCTCATTCCCGAACTCTGTATTATGCACTCACTGTAACGGGAGCTTGATCCTAACTATAAACTAGTAATGAAGTGGTAAATGGGTTATGATCAAATGTACATATTGAAAGAAATTCTCATTGAAACTTTTACTTTTGTATTAATTTGTTCAGACTTTAGAAGGAAATAATTTTGGGGAACTAACCATGTTTTAGGGTGACTGAACTTTCGCACAGCAAAACTGCGATGACTGCATCTTCCTCCAGAACTTGTGTTCGTAAACTGAGTTTAGCATGAGCCTGGGCCAGAGCAATCCTGCCAGAACCAATAAACAATGTCATTTGTGTATAAAATAGTCATTTTTGTGTGTTTGATCTTCTGCATAACCAAATGGGTTTATGTAATTCCATTTTTTTTTTTTTTTTTTTTTTTTTGCTACCAGTTGTTGGCTGTTTATTAGCTGACTCATTAGTCTTAAAGACTTCTGTGTATCTTTAAATAAACTGGTGTAGTATTGTAAATATTGTTACACAAAGTTTGTTGACAGTCCTTTGGAAACTGGAAGTGCTGAATTGTATATAACTGCTCCATCTAGTGGTATAAGGCAGTGCTTTGCAAAGAAAAGCAGCCATGTGTAGCTGTCAGTATGTTGATTTTGTAAAGCTTACAACAGTTTGACAGAAGTGACTGAGACCGTGGATCTCTGTCCTGAGTCTGACCGAACCCTGCGACTGGCCAAGTAATAGCTGTGGATCAGCCTCAGGACTCATGTCCACCTTTAGTTTCCTTGCATGAGCCAAAAGCTGGGAGAAAATATTTGAGTTTGGGGAAAAAAATACATTTCATGTAACCGAGACTAACCACATTATGTAAGTTACTTCTCTAAATGTTTCAAACTACTAAAGAAATAGCAGCCCGATTACAGCTGATTGTACACTACTGGTAAAAACTTTGGAATAAAGCTTTGTTTTATAAAAGTCTTCATGAAGGCTGTTTATTTGATTAAAATACAGTTAAAAACAGGATTATTGTGAAATATTACCATTTAAAAGAGTTGTCACATGATCCTTCAGAGGATCATAAATCAGAATGTGCATCAGAATAATTTTAACTGAATGAATTTTGACCTGAAGTGTGCATTGACTGACCGCTTTATAGTCTTGTGTGGTAAACTGCATACATGCTGGATATAGGGGCTCTTCTGGGGACATGGCCTGTCTCAGGGTATGCACTGTCATAGACAGGAGTGGGTGATTGCTGCTTGTCTCTTGACACTGGACTACGATTCCAAACGACTCTGCAAGCTGAAGAGGAACTGAGCCCATTTCCTGCATTTATATAAAAATCTCAATCACTGTAAGATAAGCAGATGCTGCAAAACCATAACGTCTATACAGAAGCACTGATGTAGTACTATAAAATAACACAAGTCATTGTTTAGACCATTTGGAGTAACTGAGATTTGGTTGCTGACACAAATAAGCACAATGAGGAACTCTCCTAAAATAGATGACATTGTCTGGTTCCTGTTCCCAAATACAAAAAGAGGTGGGGTCATCTGTGAAGCAGATCTGCATTCCTTCTACATCTGATCAGTCCTGTGGTGTGTATTTTATGCTTATAAAATTCCCAGAATAACATTCCCATCTTATTTCCTGAGGAAAAGCTCCATTTGACTATAAATAAGATTGGATATGAACCCACCACAGAACCCAGCACCACATTATCACATCTGGCTGTCCTCTTGGAGGGGGAAGCAGCATCAGCTAGGGCCCAAAAGTTGCACTGGACTGGGAAGGAGAGGTGCTGGTCCATATCATCACCATATTTCTTGCCAGGAATGAAAACAGACACGGTTCTGCTTTCGAGAGCTGAGGGGAAAAATAGGTTTGCTTTGCTTGATTGGTTAAAATGCATGATATATTCTATCTTGTGCCTTCATCTGTGATAGAAATAATTTAAACAACTGGAACCAGACTGAAGCATGTCCATCTTGTCTTTCTTGTAGCATGTGAGATCTCCCAACAGACAGACACCTCCAGATGCCAGCAAAGCTGAACCTGCATGGATGTTGGCAGTACTGGCTCCATGTTCATCTCTAGATAGAGATGCCAACAGCTCTCCTGTAAGCGCACGATGAATGCCACGCGAGGCCAATGGCAGGCTATATCTCATCAACCTGTGAATGAATATGCACATAATATGAATCATATTTTGATGACCATTATCTAAAGAGACGTGCATTTGAAAAACCCAGACCTGTCAATGATTAGAGTGTCACTGGTAAGAGCAAGCACATCCAGGTGGTTGGGAGAGTCTGGGTTATCTTCAGTTTGCACCAAGCTAAGAAGAAGCCCCAGTTTTAATGTGTTGTAAAGTCCAGGTGGGATCACCGGGGAACCAAATGAGTTGGCTACAATGGCAGCAAAGTGAGCGGCAGTCAGGAGCAAATGACTTTGACATTCTGTGAATATGTATGGTTATATTTATGCCATCAAAGTCAAAACAAGACTTTACATTTGGGGGTCCACGGTCGGATGCTGCAAGCCTCTACGCTCCAGGTTACATTAGGCCACTGGTGTACATGAGCTGGAATCCCCACAACTCGGTACAGATGGCCGATTCTCATGGAGTTACACAGTTCATCTAATTACATTAAGACAAACAAAACAATGACAGCTGAGAGCTGGTCTTCACTTATTATTTGAGAAACATGTTCACCACCAACACAACTGCCAAGAGAAACACTGCAGGCTCTTTTAAACAATGATTCCACTATGGGTTGTAGCTACTAATGAGTGTACCTTACATTTATTAACATGTATGTTCAGTAACTGGAGCCTAACATATTGAATTCCAGACTAATACTAGGTCAACACAATATGCTAATAGCATCCAGAGAATCTGTGGTCTCTCCAGTTGGCTAACTGAAAAATATTATTGAAGGAGACAGGAACACCCAATACTGAAAGACATTGTGCGTGGATGTGTTTCAGCAGTTTATTTATTTGAGAGCTTTGCTTCAACATTATAAAAACCAGGTTAATCAGGCATGATGATTCACAAACTAACTGGATTATTTCATAATGGTTAGTTAAAAAGATTATTTGCAATACCATGAGAAAGATAAAGGGGTAATTTAACATACAACAAGCATTTACCTCTTAGAAAAAGGGTGACAGATTGATATCTTAAGGAATCAGCATCATGAACTCCTTAAACATCCACTGCTCTCACATGAATGAGCTCAACTAGCTGTTTATCTGTGGATTAAAAAGCATTTATTTGAAATAGAAATATTTTGTAACATTATAAATGTTGTTAATGTCACTTTTAATCACTGCATTTATTCCTTGCTGGATAAAAGTATTACTTTTTTTTTATTTTTTTAAATGCCATTAATGTTTTTTTTTATAAACTAATGTTGTCTCACCCCCTAAAACCCGGGACTTCACATCCTACTTCAGCGGAGAAGAGCAGAGAAAGCAGGTAAAATCACTCCTAACTGTGGCAGACTCTGTGGCACCTGGTGCATGAACTCTGATATGATGAAACCCTTTGGACAAATTGACAAATTGTGTAGGACAACAATTACAAAAATAACCCATAAAGTTAATAACGTTACCTACCTCTAGAACAAGGGCATTTCTCTTCTGAGCAGAGAAATCTGGCTCCTTGTGTGTATTTGGTGACACGTGTCATGGCAATTACAAGGCCCTCCAAAGCTAAGGGTCTCATTGGACCATACCCACGGGGAAACTCGGAGAGATCCAAACAATAGTTGGGAAAAGGTGGCAAGTGGGTTGGCTTTAAAACAACATTAACCTATACAGAATATATATATTCAAATATATTCCCACACACACACACACATGAAAAAAGTGAAATCTGCATTTAATTAAGCTGCTCCTTACCTGGTTTTCTGTTTGTATGTGGTCAATAAGTGATGTGTTTTTATAGACAGATAACAAACCTGAAAAATAACCACTGCACTCTTAGTTGTTTGTTTAAATACAGATTAGATGTAAATATGTTAAGCACAATAAAATATAGCTTGTTTAATTTATTTATTTTACTTTTCCACACATTTCACCAACAGAAAACTGTGGTTGATAGACTAATAAGTTGGGTATTGTGTATATTTTATTTGTGAAACTCACTGACTGAAAGAGTGAAATGGCTTTGACAGGGTCGTGCAGTATAGTCTCCCAGTGTGGCGTTCAGTTCAAGCACATCTGAGGGATTCACATCAAAACTGAACCGATACACAGCCTACATCTGCTGTGCACCTGAAAGACATGTTTCCCTTTTTCAGTGTGTTAACAGTCATGAAGATATGGGTTCTTGTTATTTTAATTTAAATGTAATAATCAACTTAGATTACAAAAAAACGGATGTAGACCCCGGACGTGTCACGTCCTCAAGAGCTCCTGTTCACTGAGGTAAGTATTTAAATGTAGAAGTAACTAACTAATTAACGAATAAGGCATCCAACTTTATAAACAAACCTTTAAAGCCTTTACAGTCTTCAATGAGTTTACTGAACCCACCACTTCTGTCTAAATAAATTATTATTGCTTCTTTTAGGGAAAGCAGGCCATCCATATCTCTGAAATGCACCGCTGGCTCTGGAGCTGGGCGGCGGAAAGAAGCTCGAACTCAGTATAATATATGCAAATGAAATGCATCACGCGTGAGCCAAATGAAATATGTTAACCTCGACTCGAACAAGGCGTCTAAAACATATAAACAAAATTTTTAAGGCAGTGCAGTATTGAATAAGTTTAGGTAACCCACGACAGATATTTAAATAGGCTACATTATTATCACTTTCTTTAGAAAAGGGATAACTTATTTCCGAAACGCACAGCTGAATAACTGGGCGGGAAGCTCGTGCTCAATATATGGAAATGAGATGTGTCCTGCGTGAGCAAACATTTTAAGGCGTTGCATTATAATTAGTTTGGTAAGGCACCATGCCTATTTAAATACATTATCATATTATTATGTAAAATGTACTGTTATGGCTTGGTAACTGGGCGCGAAGCTCTGGTCCATAACACATGCAAATATATGCAAATGAGAGGAATCACATAAATTCAAGTAATTCAAGAAAGGGTGTTTACTTGTACAGTACATCATTTAAAGGT